TGATCTGAACAAAGGAGCCGGGCGCTAGTCACTTTCAAAACAAAAGAAGGGCCGATATCTTTTGTTAGGGACACCAATAATTTTACAACTTGCATGATCTATGATTCAACGTAAGTAAGTAGCATATTATAGGAAAAAATAGTCTACGAAAAAAGCTTTCACTGGCATCTTGACGTTCGTGGTTTTCACAACTTGTTAATAATTCGGTTAACAACAACAATAACAAATGAAACTTGCACAACTTTTTCTCAAATAACAAAGAATTTGCACAGAACATGTAAATTAGACATTAAAAATATCTCATGTCGAAATCTAGGGCCAAGATACTTTATCGAGATGCCGGGCCCACCGATGGGCGGGCTAAATACTAGTATAAGACGGCATGGGGGTAATGTTGTCATTTCTTAGGAAGGCAGTGAATGGGTCAAAGTTCACGACTGAACATAGGCCTCCCCTAGATTGTCTCATAGGGGGGAATATTTGCCACAGTTGCCACGCTTAGCAAGTGGGTTGACAACCGCAGTTTTCTTATTTTTAACGGTTATTATGAAGACGCTGCTGCCCATCTCATCTCTGACACCGGCGGGATGATATGATGATACACCGTCACTACAATATTTATTTTTTTAATTATGTAGTTTTTGTTTCTAGATATATTTTTAAAGATTCGGTAATGTCTTTAAAATCGAAGCAACGAAAGAAGGAAGCCGAGCTTGTGATATTATCCTCGTCTATGCTCCTATCTATTTTTAATATTTTTACTGCAGTATGATGCAGCAGAATAAATAAGTTTTATCTACTTAAATATAGGGTGAGCCATTTAATTTTTGGAATTAGAATCGGCTATGAAAAAACAACTAATAAATATTTTTTCAGTTATAGAGTTTATTAGAAAAATTGAATCTTTCCGTTTAGGAATGGAAGACCCCATTCTATCAGTACATTTACGATTTTTTGGACCTCTATTTCGTCAATGGCTACTTCGATTTCATGTTTCAAGTCCAACGGAGTTAAATCACATCTTCGAAATGGCCAATTGGCATCAGCATTTCGGCTGATTATGCGATCGTTACGTTGGCTGTGTGGCACGTTGCGCCGTTCTGTAGAAACCAAATGTCGTCTATGTCATCCTCTTCAATTTTGGGAGAAAAATCGCTAAGCATGGCGCGGTGGCGATCGCCATTCACTGCTATAACGGCGTTTGCTTGTTTATTTTCGAAGAAAACGGCCCAATAATGCCGCCAGACCCAGACCCAAAAGAGCCAATAGAGCTTAAAATGAGCTTCATCTGAAAAGATGATTTTTCGGTAAAAATGCTCATCTTCGATCAAAGTGTCTTCGGTCCACTGAGCAAACCAAAAACGCATCGGGCATGCTGTTTCAACTCTTGCACTAATTGAAACGTTCTACGTATTCACACCGAGATCTTTATGCAAAATTCTTCTCATAGAAGTGCTTCACGCACCGTTCAATTCTTGAAAAAGATGACGAATTGATTTTGACGCACACTCTGAGCGACTGCAGCGATGTTTTCGGTGGAGCGCACTGGACGAGTGAACAACGATCCAGTTTCATGAATTCGCTTCACAAATTTATCCACAAACTGCGTTTTTGGCACATCCTTTTTTTGTCAAATTTTTTTCGTAAATTTCTTACAGTTTGAGTAGAAGACTCAGTACTTAGGAAATAAGTTTTTAACATTTCCCAACTTTATTCAATCGAAAAGCGACCTATTTCATAAATGTCAAACATACAACTAACTTTCTGTTACATCGGAAATGTCATCAAACCTCCAACCTCAAAATAATATATTGTTCCTTGCAAACATTAGATGACCCATCCTATATAAAGGAATCACGCCAACTGAGAAGCACATAAAATGCTACGAAGCGGGACAATCCAACAATAAAACCAATTTTAAAATAATAAACATAATTCAATAATTTTCATATAAAATTATTAACTTCTCAGTGTCTAAACAGAGTGTACGTTAAAATTAAAGCTCTGGCTTTAGAAGCTTAACAAATAAGATGAAATTATTTCATTCTTTTTAGTTTATAGATGTCGATTTTCACTTTTTTTTTTAAGTTTAATCTTATGATTTTTTTTTACACTTTTGAGTAGACTGCAATATCACAACCTCAAAGTATAGTTCTTACAATTCACGAAATTGAGCAAGCTTTCCTCGTGGTTGAAGTGTGCGTGTCTGACGGAGCACTCAATTGCGAGCGTGGTGTCGCTGAGTCGCTGACCATACCAGCTTGTAGTATCTATCAGGGACACTGACACATATACAGATACGTGTTTACAACAAGTAAAGTCCGCTCTACTGCGTGAATTGCAAAAACTATAGATAGTTTTAATTAGAATTTCGTCTAGATAGAAATATTAAAAATACCATTCCCTATTTTCCTACTCTTAGGGATAGAATTGCTTCTTCAAATTTAAAAGGGACTACCCTTGAAAATTTAAAATTAATTAATCGTTAAAATCAGTTCACAATAAGCAAAAACATCGCGCAACTTACGTACAATAACAAATCCCAATGGTAAAAACTAGAGTTGGACCGATTATCCGCCGAATAATCGGTGAAGCCGATTAATCGACCTATTTGTAGTCACCCATTAGTCGGCGATTAATCGGCTAAAACCGCCGATTAATCGGCTTTTTGTTTTATCAATTTCAGCAGAGTTTTTCGTGATTTTCTGTGTGGTATGTGCGTCAACATTGATATGAGTAAAGCTTTAAATTTAAGAAAATGTTTCTCTCCCATGCGTAAAATCACGTCAGATTTATATGTAGGTAAATCAAATAGTTAATAAAATAAGTGGATTCATACATAGCTTATTTAAAATCAGTCTCACATGTTTTAATGTTAATTAATTAATTATTAATTATTCTGGACATAGGAACTTTGGTAAAAAAAAAGAAACTGAGAAGAAGAGAACTGAGAAAGTAAATTTAAAACTAAACGAAAACCTAATTACTTACTATTTTAATTCTAGTTTTCAACTTTTTCTAATCGTAATGGAGAGTAGTAACAGACATTTCCGAGAGACCGACATTTCCCGAACGCGAAGCGAGGATCGGCTGGGCAGACTAATCGGCCGATTAATCCGGGTCTCTGATTCTCTACACTCACCATACGAAACACAGCAGCGTTAAGTTGCTATTTTACGCAGGTATTCTGTGAGAGCGTGGTCCTTCCCCGGTAGAGCCAAACCATTCGTGCTACAACTATACTACTAATATAGCTGTAGCATGGCTCTACCACGTATAGAACTATGTCACTTCTACCAAACTACATCTCATATGATAAAATTCATTGGTACGTTTAAGCTACAGAGCGTGCCAAAGAAATAAACTTACAACACATACTCTTCAAAACCTTACCCTCCTTCTGGTGCCGTCGGGGAAAAATCAAAACAGTCGAATTTAAAACCTCCTTTTTTAAGATGGCTAAAGGGTTAGCAAATATTACGTCAATTTTGTAAATATATAATGTCCGCTCATGGACTCCTGAAACGTCAAATTTTCTTTCACAAGAGGATGAAGAAGGTCTACTGCTTATGACAACTTTTACATGAATTACATCGTAACACGAGCACTGAGTATTCAAACAAGTAAGTATCTATCGCACCGCGTAAGGGAGAAGTAGGGTGACTATGTCAATGTGAATTGTAAATAATATGTATGTATATGGATAAAAAGGTATTACACACAATATAAAAAAAATATATTAGGAACAATTATAATTGAAAAGCAGAACTCTGGCCGATCTAGCCGTTAAAATTAAGCGATTTTTCTCCAGACAACTTTTGCATGGACAAAATTGTGAAACAGAAATTCAACCGTCTTACTCGTATCTTATGTTAGGCCTATGAGATAAAAAGATAAGTGACACAACTAAACCAACGCTAGTAATATTGGCTGCAGCTGCGAAACAAAACCACGACTTGATGGAATTGTGTAAAGTTTAAGAGAAACTCTTAATGCTCGGATCCATGACTCCATTTTTCATATTTTAGTTAAAAAAAAGGGTCGTTACAGCCATTGTACGTATCAGTGAACGGCGAAGGCTTCTTTTCAGTTTAGAGAGGGGCTACGGCTACGGAGCGATTAGTCCATTGCGCTGCTTCAGGACGTGTTCTTAAAATTAACATTTCCTCAAACATGCAGGGTCGCGATGAAACACGTTGTTTTCTTTCACCTGCTCAGCAAATGATATATCAGCACTTAAATTTACAATTAACAATTTCATTGATACCGGAGAAGATCGAACTTGTGGATGATAATAACCCCTGGGAAGGGTGATCGCTACCAAGGTATTTCTAATTTGTCTTGTTAATTAATTAAAATTATTGGAAAAAAATAGTCGCGCTGGGTTTTTTGCTGGTTCTTCCCAGGACAGACGTTTTTTTTTTGCGAACCAGTGGTAAAAAGTGACTTTCAATAGATATTGTTATAATCTACATTTAATAAAAAAGTTTCTGTTTCTGTTCTGTTCAGTGTCCAAGAGACACTCGCGTTGTGCCAAGGTAGTATTCCATCTTAGTCCTCAAGGGTGACAACGCATCCGCATTTTGATTCTTAATCGAAGATAAATATAGATGTCTATGGGCCACAGCATCCACTTACCATCAGGTGGACTGTGTGCTGGTTTGTCACCCACATCCTAGAAAAAAAACATTACGGCAAGTGATTCGCCCATTAGCTAAGCGCATTTCCATATTGTTTTTGAGGTGATGGCTAATCCTTTCTTCTCAAAAATTATATTGCATCTTTAAAGTAGTTTTCTTTAGTTACTTATAGGTTGACTGGTAGAGAAGGCATAAAGTACGCCTTTGTACATTTTGGTTGCAACGAAAGGCTTGATTACACTGGGCTGGTTTACGAGCTACTAGTCGGTGAGTTTAAAAGCTAACGAGTGAGCGAGTAAGCGAGTGTCGATGACACAAAAACCTTTCCACTCGCTCAGTAGCGAACTAGCTAGCTTGTCTCTACATATTTCTATAGGCCAAAGGATCTTGGTCTTTTAACTCTCTCAATAAATCACTGGAAGCACCATATTCATCACGTCTTTCTATCCACGATCTTACACATTTTCTTTTCTCTTTAAAGTTTTTCTTTAGTTTTCGTTGTAAATCCTTCTTGATAACATGAGCTAAAAGAACTACGCCCGCGTGAACTACTTCCTTTGACATTTTAGCTTAAACAGCCAATACGAAAAGATGCTCGCAACTATTATAGTTAAACAGCAGCGATGATGACACACAGCTAGTTAACTAGCTTACAGGCCAACACGCCAGCGAATGGCGAGTAAATTAGCCTGGCTTTCTATTTTTCAAGCAGCTTTTTTACAATCAAAAGCAGATTGTAAAAAAGCTCAATGACACGGAGCGAGTTTCGAGCTGCCGAGTTCGCGAGCAGCTTGTAGCTTGTAAACTAGCCCAGTGTCATCGAGCCTGAAGTTTAAATAAATAAATGTCATAAAGAACTAAAACATAATTAGTATAGTGAGAATTCCTAGTCATCCAAAAATCATGGACATAATACCACAACGCAAAATGTGCTGCAGAGCGAATAAATTCCAATTAGTTCCCGGGCTGAGCAATGCAGAGAGCCCTTCCGTCTCGACGACACTTCATTGTTGGGGGTCGCGATTCAATCGAAGCGTAAAGTGGCATACATGCGATGTGAGGTATAGGTTACTATTTTAGCTTTACTTTTGCTAGTTTTGACTTTGACGGGGCCAATATTAATGTAATGCAGAAAACAAAACTTGTTGGTTTTCCATCTATCATCATTCACGGTCACGGGAACTGACGTCTCGCCCATATATTGCCTCAGAGGTAGGATTTTGCCATAGTTGCCATGCTATGGGGTAGTGGATATTCTTACACCGCCATTATGCGGTTGGCTTTTTGGACCTGGATTGATTGTTATCGCTTATACCGCCGTAGTCCACTTTGTTAGATAATCTGTTATTTTATTTTTAATCTATCATTGTAACGCATAGTGTAAATGTGAATCAATTAAATGGAACTCAACATAGCTTTCAAGCACCCTAGCTGCGTGACTGTCGGTTCGCGACGTGTAAACACGGGACAAAGCATATCGCCCCAGCGACTATTCCGCATTGACTATTATAGTTACGGACTCGGGGACTTACGCGATTGTCCACTTGTATCGACACAAAGAACGTGAATGTGGAAAGGGAAAGGTCCGGCCACTCACATATGCACAATTTTAACAATCCACAAGTGTGGCAGTATCTTTTTGCCTTTGAGTGTAGCTTTTCGACACAAATTAAAACATAGTTTCGCACAGACGTGTATAAATTCTTAGCACAAAATATGTGAGTGGTGTATGAATTGTTGTTGCAACGAACTCGGCAACACGCAGTTGTCCACGTGGAACATTTAGGTGGAAAGGAATAGGGCCGGTAGATATATACAAATGTACTAATCCACAAGTGTAGAAATGTCTTTTTGCCTTTGACTCTACCCAGTTTTGAGTAACATTTTCCAATGTTTTCTTTTTGCTTTCGACTTTGCACAGTTTAGACATTTTCCAACATGTCGAAATGTGTTAGTTTTGCGATACACTAATTAGAGCGTATAAGGTTTCGCATACATATTATGTAAAAATCTTTTCACATATGTGAATCATATTCCATTTTATTACAAAAGGTGGTTTATTGATAATTTTATATTTAAACAATGGTTTAAGAAGAGTCCTGACTAAAGAAGTCCTTTAGTCGCGGCGCCGCAGTCTCCGTGAAATTTGTTTTTTTTTTTGAAGTGAAAATTTCTTTAGCGGCGTTGTACACTTTTTTTGTAATGGGTAAAAAATATTAAACTCGCGTCAGGACAAGTGACCTGATCGAAAATTCGTAAGATGGACGGCGTAGAAAAGGAAGTAACCCCCTCTCTTTCCACGGTAAGGCGAAAATGTATGCCTGCGCCTGCTGTTTCGTCTATGCGGCGCAGGGCGCTTGCGCGAATGTAATATAAATTGTTATGTTTGTGTACGATAGCGCAATAAATAAATATTGTATTCTACCACATAAATGAAAGTACTTTTATGTTGATAATTAAAGCAATTCATGTAAAATTATTCCCTAACCATTCCAAAATATCAAAAATGTACAACGTTAATATTCAAGTTTTCACTTCTGCCGGCACTCCCGGAGTGCAACCCGTCGTTTTTGAAGTGAAAACTACTTTAGCGGCGTTGTATACTTTTTTGTAATGAGTAAAAAATGTTAAACTCGCGTCAGGACACGTGACCCTGATCGAAAATGCGTAAGACGGATGGAGAGAAATAGACAGCTGGCGCGGCATAGCAGAGGAAGTATCCCCCTCTTTCTACGGCGCGGCGAAAATGTATGCCTGCGCCTGCTGTGTCGTTTAGTTTGTTTTGAACGACGAAATTGACGACTCCGTGGCGCAGTGGCTTAGCTATAAGTGGCTGCGCTGCGGTCGCGGGTTCGAATCCCGCACGGATCAAGTATTTGTATGGCCTACAAGTAATTGCTCCGGGTCTGGATGTTTGTCCTTGTGCAATTTATGTTTGTAAACTGCCCCCACGATACAGGAGAAAATCCTAGTAAAGGGGTAACGTAAAAAAACAAAAAAAAAAAAGAAAGAAATAGTTGTGTACGATAGCGCAATAAATAAATATAGCGCAATAAATAATAACTACATAAATGATAGTACTTTTATACCGATAATTAAAGCAATTCGTGCAAAATTATTCCCTAACCATTCCAAAATATCAAAATGCACATCGTTAAGGGGAAATATAACCTCAAATGGCTTAGCAAGATCCTCCGTTATGCCGAAAGTATTGCAGCATTAATTTTGAAATAAATATATGGTAAAGTTGAGGATTAATGTTAAGGTTTATGTTAGACGAAAACACGATTCCGTAAAATTTTCTCGATAGAAAAAAAATCCAAAGTTACCTCCAAACTGAACAATAAAACCGCTGTTATTCATAAAATACTTTAAATAAGATCATGAAACTTTGCATACTAACTGAACTAACCATAAAGCAGTGCTTATGTTATTTACTTTTTTTAAAATATCATTATCCTGTCGCTCCGCAGGAACCAAGCTTACGCGCCGATAGTTTAGGTAATTTCTTTTTACAGTGAAAATAATGATATTTTAAAAAAAGTAAATAACATAAGCACTGCTTTATGGTTAGTTCAGTTAGTATGCAAAGTTTCATGATCTTATTTAAAATATTGTTACGAGCTTGAGGTTCGTGACAATAAAAATTGCCGATAAAATTACCTAAATTAACACTTTAATTTACTTTACACAAATTAAAACTAAAAACACTAATAATTAAACACACTAATTCACTTAATTCCGCTCCGAAGCTTCGCTTGTGTCGCCGAGTTCAACTCTGCTCGATCGCATCTTGCAGCGCCTACTTATATAAATTAGCAAAATATCCAGAATGTTCAAGTAAACACGCGCAAGGTACCGAGAGTTCGAGTTTTAAACTTCTAGAAGTTTATTTCTTCGGTTCGAGACTAGATGGCGCTAGTGCGCCGATTTGAGCGCGGCGTAACACTGCCCCCTCCTAAGACATGCTCGTCCCGAGCATTATCGACCCCATAATAACGCGCTAGGCGATCCACATGGACGATCTTAGGAGTCCCTCTTGCGCCTTTCTGTATGCGGTAGATTACATCGTTGATCCTGGTCACAATCCGGTACGGGCCGTCCCATTTAGCTTGAAGCTTAGGAGATTTCCCTTTGCTGCGGACTGGATTGTGCAACCACACAAGTGAACCTTCGTCGAACCCTTTGTTGTTCATTTTGCGGTCATACCGGGTTTTCATCTTTTCAGACATTTGCTGGCCCGATTGTCTGACGTGCTCATAAACGTCATTCATTTTGTTCCGCAAGTCATTTGCATAATCGGTTATACTGCGTGGAGCATATATATATATATATATATATATATATATATATATATATATATATATATATATATATAAAAATAAATTTCCAAAATATACGAATTAATAAAAACCCGGTTGACCGAGCAAAGCTCGGTATTTATCAACCGGGTTTTTATTAATTCGTATGTTTTGGAAATTATATTTAGATAGAAATTACATACTGATGAAATACGAGTAATATTTTTTGATCTTAGCGACATAATAGAAAAAACTGAACTGGTTATTTGAATCAAAATTCATGAGTGCAATTAGTTTAATTTAAATTTGTTGTTGTTGTTGTTGTTTTTAAAAAATACTAAAAAAAGGGCTCGGAAAAAATAGATTTTCTCAAAAAAGAAAGGAACTTGAAAAAAATTAAAAAAAAGTTGGTCGGTCGGTTTGGGCTCGAACCATGGTATTACGACTTCTTGACAGCCCAATATACCAATTAAGCTATTTGTAATCATTAATAAACTGTCAAAATTTACCTTCTTATTCTAACGATATTGTAGCAGTTTTTCATTGCCTAAAAACACGGACAAAAAGACATTTTCTAAAAATAAATCCTAGCTAGATCGATTTATTGCCCCCCGAAACTCCCTGCACACAAAATTTTATGAAAATCGTTGGAGCCGTTTCCGAGATTCCGATTACATATATATATATATATATATATATATATATATATATATATATATATATACAAGAATTCTCTTTAAAGGTATAGGATATATATATATATATATAGATCAATATAGAAGCAAGTACACACACTAAATCGAATTTAGATCACGCTCTACACATTCAAAATAATAAACTAAATTGGGGCACAGTACCGTACAGGGGTCTATGGCTATCAAAGCGTTCATACTCCCCGCGGGGTCCGGGCTCTAGGACAAGACACGCCCCTCTGGACTGCATTGTTCAGGATAATCCAAATTATACGCTACCAATCCACGCCGAAACGAAGTGACATTGTCCAATGTTGTCGACACGCTTTTCAGTCTTACTAATAATTATTTTCATTGACATAATTCGACACATTTATATGTGCCGTTACTTCACTATTATATTAAAATCCACTACTAAAAATAGGCCTCCCCCATAGATTTCCTCATAGGGACTGCCATAGTTACCAGGTTTGGCCAGCGTTATTTTGTTAGCAATTTTTTAGGAAGACGTTGCTGCATATCGAACGTGACCATACGAGTACGTCCCACTTTAGGCGGGACGGTCCCGATT